TCACCACAGTTCTTCCAGCAATCCACACTTTCTCTGCTCTCTTTTTCTCATCGTCTTCTCCTTCTTTCCCATCGCCCGGCTTGACACAGGTTTGCCTGCTGTGTCTAAAAGTAGCAGCAGCAGCAACACAGACTGACAGCAGCTCATTGACTAGTTAGTATCACACGAGCCTGGTGCTGGAGGATCCGGAGGGCTTTACCGTATTAACAGGAGAAGCAGCGCAAGTGAATTTAGACACTGACACATGGACAACATGCGATAATTTATAAATGCTTTAAATCAGGTGGGTCTGGATTAGCCAGCAGGTGGGTCCGGATCCGGACCTCTGCCCAAGATGTTTGGACACTAATTTAAAATGGCGTAGCCACTATGTAGTGCCCTATATAAGGACTAGGGCGGATGGTTGGACACAGGCCGGGTCTGCATCAGTGCCGGCTCATCGGAATTTGCCGTTGGGTGTAACGGCAAACTAGTAATGGAGTAAACACATTCCTCAAAATATAAGTTTCAATGGTTTGCTGCATCTTAATCACACACACAGAAAATGACAAGTTAGAAAAAAGAAAAAATGTCTTTAATCCCTAAATGGAAGGTCCTCTCTGAAATTGTTTTATTTAACTGGCTAGATTTATTTTTAAGAATATGGCAAATGCACCTGCGCCACGGAGCTACAGCCACCAGCATGCAGCTTTACTTTGTTGCCATAGGAACGATTGCTTTCCCTTTCCATTGGAGGGAAGAGGCCGTCCCATTCACATTTATACCCCCTACCTACAATCCAGGCTCCTTCCTGAGCTATGAATGTGACTGAACTGACTGCTCTGCGCTTGCTTCACCACAGGACCAGCATTACTCTATGTGTTCATCTTCAAATTCATCCTACAATAACAAAGCATCTAGATGTCAAATAAAATGTAAAAATGTTAATGCTGCTTATTACAAACACTTGGCACTTGGATAGCTTTATTACCAATACAGTCTTCTCCAGTCTAATACTGACGATAGGTCAAGTCCCCTTTGCGTCAGATACTGAAGTAATGAGAGTACCCTGTTCATTATTTATTGATGCTCAGAGTGCATGATGGGTTGTTGGAGTAACTTGCGAAGAAGTTACCATGAATTGTAAAGTAAAAACCTACCACTAACCTATTTCTACCCCTAAAACTAAAAGAATCACTAGAATAAATGTCACTATATACTCCTGAAGCTACCAAACTAGCTTTTTAAGGCTAAAATCTAAATAACTTTTTGTTGCATGTCAGGAGGTACAATGTCCCAGCCTGTCCTTTACCCTGGGCAGTCGTATAAAATGAGAGGGGTACTCCCGTCGCGTCAGTATGTAATGTCAGCATGATGTCACAGTGGGATGGAGGTCTTCGAGGACCCAAATGCAGAGATCAGGAGGCGGAGGTGAATCCTGCAGATTTAATGAGTAACTGAGGAAAAATCCAAAAATACAAAGAAACAAATGACCAGAAATCATCAAGGGAAACTCACGCAGGGAGCCAGAGATGATAAAGCAACAAACAACAACAAGGAACCAGCACTGAGTGACTGCAGAGGTGGAGTATATAAGGGGAACAAAACTAATGATCCGAACAAGGAGCAGGTGTGACTGGAACTAACTAGATGGAAGCCATGGGAAAGGAAACAAGCACAAGGGGGCAACAGAGAGTAGCTAAAGACTGCTTGAATATAATGGAAAATAAACCAAAGATCAACAAAAAAGAATAACTGAAAACTAAAAACTTAGAGTCCCAAAGATGAGAACCATGGGGACACATGTTGGACCAGTTGGGAGTGAGAATGTGTTGAAATAACACCAAACACAGCAGAAATCTGTAATGAGGGAAAACAGTTTTAGACCTCTGAATATACAAAAGGTGGTAAACTGCCTTTTGGTTGAAATTACAATGTGTGTGTTGCAGTGCTTCAAGCGTCCGTTAGAGAGCAGAAGAAGCTGCTGGTTGAAAATGGCAAACTGAAAAAGGACATCGAACAGCTGAGAGGTCAGCTGCAGGACAAACAGAAGAGACGGAGCGGTATGACACCAAAACCAACCAATGATTGACATTAAAATGACACCAGACAGCTTAACTTTGGCTGTTTAAGGAAAACTTAGGCAGATCCTACACTTAATAAGCACCTTTATAGATGATTTCATACACAATTCAACCATTTTCCCTTTCTTCCAGCTAAGGCTGTGCTGTCTCAAGCCCCACCTCCTCATAGTGTAAGCCCCGCCCACACCAAACCTGAAGGTGGATCCACCTCCCTGCCAGGAGCAACAGCTGGTGTTCCTTCAAACCCTCCTCCCTCTGCCTCCTTAAGCGACGTTAAAGACAGACCAAGCAGAAGGAGGAGAGGAGAGAAGAAAGGTACACTGCAAAAATAATATAGAAATAAGCAACAAAAATTAAATTAAATGTATTTACCCTTAATTTAAGTAGGTAAATAAGATGATTTGACAATAGAATGAGTATTTTTTACTGTTAAAATAAGATAATTATATATTATTCACTTGAAATAAGACAATGTCATTGTTTTTTCTTATTTAAAATGTAAATTGTGTTATTCAATTCGCAAAATGTCTCACTTTCCTCCTCAATTTAAGAAAAATTTCACTTATTTAAATTTCAATTGTTTTCAGTGTAAGAATAAACCAAGATGGAGTTAAAGTAAAAGTAAAAGATTAACACATTTGTATCTGTCTTTTAGTGCGTGCCAACACAGACACACTCACTCTGGGGGAGGAGTCTCGAATTGATGCTTCACGCCTGGATCTGCGTGTTGGAAGAATCCTGAGCATCCGTCGCCATCCACTGGCTGAAACCATGAGTGTTCAGGAGGTGGATGTGGGAGAAAACAGCCCCCGGACGGTCGTCACCAAGATGGGAGGGGGGAAAGATCTCGACCAGGTGATTATTTTTATCATGCTTATATATGACGGCCATTAAAAACCTTTTTGATTAGCTGGAGTATAAAATGATATCAGGATGATTTATTATGAAAATTTTGTTATTTACGAAAAAAAATCATAATATATAATATTATTTTCATCAAATATTATTATTAAATTATTTGAACAAATATTCTAAATGAGTTTCTCAACCGATGAATAATTTCCCAATATTTTTATACCTTTGAATAGCACCCATGCATCTATGGTATTACATTACGGTAGAATGATTTCAACAATATTAATAGTGTGCCAATTTTAGTAAAGTATTTTTTACCTCATCTCTAAATATAAAGTGTTTTTAAGATATTAAAGATATTAAAAAATTTAAACAGGAATATTTAATAAATTAGCCATTAAAATATTTATTTGGAGGGTTGAAAACAGAAATTGAGTAAATAACATGATGATAATTAATGAATTTGACGAAATAGACAAATTGTCACAGAACAAAGTCACCTGGTAATGCAACTGTTTCTCCCACTACCATCAGAAAAATGATTCAGGACCATTAAACACAAAACAATAGACATTTTCTTTTTTAAATGCTGTGAAAGCAATCTTTCTCCTGTATTCAGCCAACCTCTGCTAACACCCCCAAATACAACACCAGCCCATTTTATAAAGTGACTCAGAACAAGCTGCACTTTATTTAAACACTACATGCTGCTATTTTATTAGTACATCTCTTTTCTGATGATGTTTATATTTTCTAATGTTTTTTGGAAGTTGAAAGAGTGATAATATGTTGTGTCTTTTTTTTCTTAGGGTGTTTCATATAATTTGTCCTATAAGGATGCTTATTTTTCTTTTTTTCAGTTTTCCACATTTTACCTGTTTTCTATGTGTTCCTGCTGAGCCGGGTTTCTCAACAAAAATCCTATTATAGCCTCATAATGAGAATAAAGATTCTTGATTTTATAGAAAAATGTATTTGTCTAGTAGGTAGAGTTGCCAACTGTCCCTTGAAAAATAAAATTGTTCCGTATTTAGAAATAGAAGTACCTGTCCCGTATTTATTGGAAAGGGAATGCACTTTGCCCGTATTACTGGGAGGGTAAAAAAGAAATGAGTAAAAAGCTAATGGAAAATGAAGAACAAGGGCACATTAGATACAAAACTTACGGTAAACATGTTCCCGGGCCCTGTCCGGGACTTGTTGTCAGCTCATTGTGACCAATGAGCTGACAACATACAGGTAACGATCCAGAATCCCCTCATCCCATTGGCCGAGCCAAGGCTGATGCTGCTTTTGGGGGCGGTGCACCATAGAAAAATATGTTTACACGTTTGCACAACTTTGCTGTTTCACCAAAAATGTGCACTATGTATTCATTGTTTTATATTCATTGTTACAGTTTGAAGTTAGGCAGGACAGGCTTATGTTTAAGATACTGATTTTATTCAGTAAATTTTGTTGTTTTGTATTAATGTGAATTCTCTGCTTACCGATATTTACGCTATTGTGTTCATGTCACTCCCAAGTATGCAATATATTATATAATATATTAAAAAAAGAATCACCACGCCAGCAGGGGTAAAGGCAATCAGGTCAGCTGACATGCATATGAGGTGTCCCTTTTTTTTCTTTTTAGGGAGTTGGCAACCGTACTAGTAGGCCTAACCCATGCTAGCGGCTAATTAGTCAGGCTAACACCCAGCTCTCAAAATAATAACAGCTACAGTGGGAATGAGTTGCTAACTGCAAGTTAGAGTCTCGTTAACAGCAGTTGTAAACATTTCAACAGGTACTAACAGGCTAACAGGAGAATAAAATGCTTACTGAAGTCTAGACATAAGCTAACAACCAAAAGGAATCAAGCTAACAGATAACATAAACTGAGTTAAGGTTAAAATATTCATAAATTATCTTAATTTTTTCCCTTTTCTTTATGTTAATTTAAAAAAGTGATATGATTTTCTCTGTCTAGCTTCAAGGCTCTCTTGGAGTGTTTCTATGCAACGTAAAGGCCTCAAAAATGAGGGGCGTGGCCTCACAGGGCCGCCTCATATGTTGCTCCGCTTCCGACGACAGCATTGAGCCTCTGGTTCCGCCTGCAGGCTCCGCCCCTGGAGACAGAATCACCTTCTTGAACTATCCTGGTAACTACGGTGACAACGTTCATGCATTATAAAGCCAGATGGTCATCATCAGTTTTATGATGGCTGATATATCTGAACAGGTGACAACATTACGACCTCATGTGTGTTTTAGGCGAGCCGGATCGAGAGCTTCCATCCAAACTGAAGATCTGGGAGCTTCTTCTGCCTGATCTGCAGGTGGACAGCAAGGGTGTGGCCAACTATAAAGGCTGTGGGTTTGAAGTGAAGGGGAAGGGACTGTGCAGAGCTCCCTCTCTCACTAACTGCACAATCAGATAGAGGAAGGCCCAATGGGCTTTGTTTTGCCTATGGATGATTTGACTGAAAACTGCTGGTACAGGTTGATAGATTGAAGTATGTTCCTTCTTTTAGTGTGAAAGCATAAAAAAATCAATAAATAATTTGACAAAAATATCATGTTTTGTTTGTTTGCTTTTATTTAAGTAACAATAGTATGGGTGATAATGTTTTATTGATACTGCTTTCACTAGAGTGTCTTCAAACATGCAAGTAACAAACAAGTAGTAGGGAATTCATGTTTAATTGTCAAATCCTTCTGGCTTAAACATTTATATGAATGTACTCTTTATCAGACCATACTTCCCCAAAACTTAGAACATTTCTATTTAAAAAAGAAAAATGTTCTGTGGGTTTTTTTCGTTATCTTATGCAGGCCAGTTAGTTATACCTCAGCTTGTACACCTAAATTCGGCCAATCATATA